CCTTCCCTCCTCCAAAATAAATATTTGTAAGTCCTTCCTTTTCGGTTCACTGGCCGCTTTTGTTTACCTGTTTGGGCTTTGCTGTCCGGAGGTCTCGTCCGTTTTCCCAGCTGATAGTAATTTTTGCCTCAATAGTTCTGCTTGTTCTTAAGTTCAGTCCACACCCTGTCTCTTCTTGCGTTTGCGTTACTAACAAGTCTTTTTTCCACCCGTGCAGTTTTAAAAAACCCGGCGGCTGCAACTTTGCAAAATCATGGCAGCCATGTTTGCTCCGCCGTCAGTCTCTGCTTCTGGGGCATTTTCTGGACACCCCCCGCATTGCCAATTGCGGGGGCCCCAAAAAATAAAGCCCCTTGCTCCAGCAGTCCATACCAGGTCCGCTGGTCGGGGTTCCCCAGCAACCGGGGCCCCCGAAAGAAGACTAACGCATTCGGGCGGCTCAGCGTTCGCTAGAGCTCGCCCGTCGTCGCGCCATACCGGAAGTGCACTAACTTTCCCTGGGAGACTGGCATACTGTAAACAGCTATTGTGGGAATTGACTCTGCCACTCTCTGAAATGAGTATGTTTCCTAATAATTGGCACCAAGCCTGGAAATCAGGGCCACATTAAGCATAGTTGTAGTAAAAGAAGAGATTGGATTTATACCCCACCCTTCACTACCTGAAGGCGTCTCAGAGCAGCTTACAAACTCCTTTCCCTTCCCCTCCCCACAACAGACCCCCTGTGAGGTAGGTGGGGCTGAGAGAGCTCTGAGAGAACTGCTCGTGAGAGAACAGCTCTGAGAGAACTGTGACTGACCCTAGGTCACACCAGCAGCTGGTCCACATACTTAATCACTGCACCAAACAGTTTCCATGATGTGTCTTAAGCATTCCAGTTATCAATAGTCCTCATTACGATGCCCTGATTTTCCCTCCGTTGCAGCAGTTCGCTTAATGCATCTGGTGCACCTTATTGTTGCTTCTGCATGGGACAAAGGCCACTCTTTGCTTGGCCTCAGTGGGGTGGCCCTGCAGAGGGCAGCAATGATTCCGGGGGCCCAGTCTGGACCTAGGCCCAGGGCCCCAGGATCACGAAGACTGCCCCTGCCCCCCAAAACACACACAATTCAGTCACAAGCAGTGAGGCAACGCTCCCCACCCTACACAACACTTTCCAACCACCTCCGCCCTCATCCCCCACCACTGCCAATACCCACCACTGCAGGTGCTCTTGTCAGCCTGGAGCCGGTAGCCTGCTGGGCAAGTGCATCGGTAGGAGCCGGGCAAGTTCACACATTCATGGAGGCAGATGCGCGTGAGGCGGCTGGACTGGAAGAGCTGACACTCATCCACATCTGGGGAGAATGATGACAAGGAAGTTGCTGAGCAGTCATTGGGTGTGGAGGTAGGGAGGGAGTTCCAGGGTCTGGAGAGTTGGTGCTGCACTGGGGGCACATGTCTCTCTGTGCAGAGTAACATCCTGTCCTCTCAGTACCTATCTGTAATACAAGCCTCTCCCCACTGTGTGTCCCACCCTTCATAGTGGCACACATCTTCCTAGTGCAGCAGAACCAGGAGGTATTCATGGTCAGTAAGGTAGGAGGCAAGTTGCCCCTGAAGATAAATTCATACAGAAGATAAAGCATCCAGGTATGGGGGATGCTCTCTCCTTTGTCTGATTCCTCTCTCTAACTCTATTTGTTGCCCAGATCCAGTTATTGGCCTTTCAAGGCAAGTGGGAGCAAAGCTGGAGCCAGGTGCCAAGGAAACTGCACGGGACCCATGAGCAGAGCTTGCATGCGTTATAAAAGTGTAGATTTCTGCACTATGGCCATCTGAATTCTGGGAGCCACATAAGTTATGTAAGTTGAACACCAGTTTATGGCCAGCAAATCTCCCTGCAGGCTTCAACTGGAGTTTTTATGCTGGACAGAAACTGGTGTAATATCAAATCAACCATTAAAGGGAGCAAAGCACATGGGAAACAGACCCCACCCCACCCTGCCCTCTGAAAAAACAGGAATTTACAAGCAAGGAAAATGAGGATGCAGAAAAGCCCCAAAGCACCAGGAGGACCCCTGGGCCCCTCCCCATGCACCTGCCATGCACCCTTCTCCCCTCCCCCTTACCTTGGCAAATGCCCCCTGCCCGCATTTGGAAGCCTGTGTCACAGCTGCACTGGCGTGAGCCCAGGACGTTCTCAGCACAACGGGGCTGGCGGCTAAAGGACGAGTTACTCAGCGTCACCCAATCTGCAGGCAAGAAGTAGGTATAAGTTCATTAAGTCTGTCATGAAATGACCCTTCACCCCTCAGGTACTTCATGTAAATAGGATCTTACTTTGGGTTGCCATGTTTCTAGCTTTATTCTCTGGTTCCAGAGAACATAAAACTGCCTCTTCAAGCAAGACCACCAGTCATGAAGCCTGCCAGGCTAAGGTGGCTTCCGCATGATGAGGATTCTCTGTTTCGCATTCATAAGAGAGCATGAGAAGAGCCATGCTGGATCAAGCCAGTGTCCGTGTGGTCCAGCATCCTGATTCACACAGTGGCCAACCAGGGCCAACAAGCTGAGCATAGAGGCCAAAGTCTCTCCCTGATAGTGCCTGGCATTCACAGGTTTACTACCTCTGGGATATTGGTTCCCTTTAGTCATTAGGGCTAGTAGCTATTGGACCTCCCTTCCGTAAAACTGTCTAACCTCTTTTTAAAGTCACCTGTGCTTGTGGCTATTGCTACTTCCATTGGCAGCATATTCCACAATTACTGATTGAGTTAACAATGATTTCTTTTGGTCCATTCTGAGTCTATTACCCATCCATCGCTTTCACTGGGTGCCCAGGGGAGAGGGAGGAAAAGCTCCCTCGATACACTTTTCTCCACCCCATGCATAATTTTATAAGCCTCGATCATGTTTCCCCTTAGCCATCTTTTTCCTAGACTGAAAAAGCTCAGGCACACCCAACCTTTCCTTATAGGAAAGCTGCTCCAACTCTATACAAAAAATAAAAAGAAAGAAAGCTGCTCCAACTCTGTTATGGCCTAACAAAAGACCACGCACGCGGTCAGCCTCGCACGTGGCCTAGCGAACGCACGGAGCTTTGCGACCTAGAACAATGGACACTGAGGATCCTAGAATGGACCTATCAGCCGATCTGGATCCTAGAATGAACCTATGGTTATGGGGGCACTGTAAATAGACCTATCACGGGTGTTGGGGGTGTGTTGAGTGTGGTTTGGAACTGGCTCCGCTTTCTTGTCTCAGTTTCTACCTACGAGTAAATCATGAGCTGAAATCACTCGTCTATGCTTCTTGAACCCAGTACATTTCAAACTCTATTCATCGTGGTCGCTCTCCCTTGCACTTTTTCCAGCTCCGCAATATCCTTTTTAGATTCAGCAACCAGAACTGCACACAAATATTCCTAGGCGTGGTCACATACACTAAATAACCCACTTTCAATCCACTTTCAGTGCACTTTCCGACTGGATTCTACTGTGGCCCTTTCTGCACTCTCCTTTTAATCTGTGTTCACCGTGGTGTCCTCCAAACAATTCTGCACTAAAACCAAATCCAACCTTCTTTTCAATCCAGGTTTCTTCCCCACTCTGCACTAAAATTGAGTTCAACCTTCTTTTTATTGAGTCCCCCCCCCATTCTGCATTACACTACCTCCCTTCAGTGGTCAGGCTGGTTTCAGCCTGCCCGTGTTATTTGGATACTGTTTTGCCATGGATTTAAATTGCCTCGACTCGGACACTGAGAAAATCTAGAGAGGGCCAGCAAATGCAGAAAGAACCTGTTGTGTGAACTGGCAAAATCCAGTTGGAAAGTGCATTGAAAGTGGATTGAAAGTAGATTATTTAGTGTGTTCGACCACAGCCCAAAGGAAGCTGCAACCATAGCTTTATACAAGAGTATTATAATACTGCCTGCTCTATTTTCAATCCCTTTCCTAAGAATCCTGAGCATGGAGTTTGCCTTTTCTATCATTGCCACACAATAGGTTGACATTTTCATAGAACTTTCTACTCTAAACCCCAAATCACTTTCAATCTCAGTTAGTTCAGGCCCCGTCAGCCTATATTTACAATTAGGATATTTTTTTTGTCCCCATCAGGGCCTGTAAAACTGCCAGCTCTGAGCTAGTAGCAGGCTTGCCATCCTGAGTCTGGCAACCAATGAGTCACGTTGGGGGCAGCTGGCCTTGCTGGTCATGTAACAGCAGCACCAGTGATGTCGCTTCTGGTGTGACCTAGAAATGGTGTCATTGCATCACCATTGACACTACCATTCAGCCAGAACTCTATGGTTTAACCACAGAGTTGGGGGTGAATGCTAGATCATTGCCTGACGCGACAATGTCCCTTCCGGGTCACCCCGGAAGTGACCTAATGGCATCAGGACAACGTCAATTGCCCTCAGATTTCCTGCGCCATTTCCTTCCCCTGCTGTCCAGCTGAACAGTGGCAGGTAGGGGAGGTGGGAGATCTCTTGCAGAAGTGGGAGAGCTGGAAAGCCTTGCTGGTGGAGAGAGACTTAAAAGGGTATTAGATTGACAGTTCTTTTGTCTGGAGATGGGATTTCTTCCTCACTGTTTCTAGCAGAACACCCTTCCCCATAACACTCGCCTGGTGCCTCCTCTGCTCTCTTTTTAGGTGCCCAGCTAAAATGTTTCTTTATACCCAGGCTTTTAATTTAGGGGCTGGTTTTTTAAAAGTTGCTTTTTACTGTCTATTTCTAGCCTGAGGGGCAAAGCTTGTTTCAAGGCTGGGTTTTTAATCATTTATTGTTACAATTTCTATGATGTTTATGTTCTTATGTTTTACTTTGTAAGCCACATGGAGCAGGCAGTGTGGAAAGGCAATTTGTCTAAGTAACGAGATACATGAGCAATGTTCTGTACAATAGAAAACAATAAATACTAGTAAAATCCATGGAAAACATGAAAAAGAGGGGTGAGATAAGGTGATATAAGGGAAAG